ATCATCTTAAACGAAATTGGGTGAATACATCTCATACTACTGATTTACTGGTAGTCTCGAAACAATAGTTGATGCGAAAAAAAGAGACTATAACTATGCCCTCACAGAAGGCGGAGGGCAGCATAAATGCGTAAACAGAGAACAGGCGCAATGAAAGAGGATTGTGTTTTGTTTTGAGTACAATTGACTAATAAACAATTAATTCTATTTGTAGAGAATTGTGTGCAGTATCATTTCCAATTGAATGCAGTCAGTTGTTAGCAAATTAAGAGACTCTTAAAATGACCATTATCTCATGTCTACCCTTTTTTTGTCCCTAAACTTCAGTTGTGAGCCTGGTTACACAGGAATCCGATGCAACATGTTCAATTTGCCGGAGACTATGGCAACGCTACAGAACTACAAGGGCCGCGAAGTAGACCTGAAGGATCTCGAACGAGAGATGGCGGGCAAGATTTTCAGCATTGTGGAAGCGGTCGCGTAAGCTTCTACACACACAGAGACACACAGACGCACAAATACACACAAACATACATACACACATCATGCGCACAAATAACAAATGTCAAATGAGCAAATACATATTATTTTTTGTAGTTATGTAGAAATACTGGGTTTAGAAGAATACCTCGAAAAATTGATGCCGGACTCTCTTACATTTCGCTTGAAGAGACGAGCGGAAGAGATTCATAAATTGGCCTCACCTGAAGCTGTAACTGACAATTTTTGCGAATAGGTCTTCGGTGCACAGCCCCGCGACGCCGATGCATGCTTGCAGGACGATGCGACGAGGACCTATTAGCATAAATCTGTAATCATTTCTCCAATTCAATCCCCCTACACATCTGGTGAGACCAAGTTAAGAAACCCTTCCTCTAGCCTTTTCAAACAGGATAAAAGGTATTGTGAACTCAATCCATTTTCGTTAGAAAGCGATTATGAGAGAAAGAGAGAGAGATAAGTACAATTAGCCATAACGTTAGCACAAAATGGGTATGAGAATTTCAGTAGGTCCATCGAAAGTATGAAGACCAAGATGGTGTGGTCTTTTGTGTGGTG